CTTAAAAAGCTGCGTATCACGCCCAATCAACGAGACGATGGTGAAGGGTCAGTCTCAAACAGAAGCAATAAGTCTAGTGATGCAGAACCATCTCCTTCAGATTCATTGAGGTCTCAAGATAACACTGAATTCAAACCCTTTTCGGGTTTATCAAATTGGTTCAGCTCTGTTGCTCACAGAAAAAGCCCTTCTTCTTCCAATGCCACCAATAGCAAAGAGGATGAAACTACCATGGAACATGGTGGTCCCGTTGGGTCGGAATCTGGGAGGATGCAGGGTTTGGGTTCTAGTAATTCCAAGGATCCAGAAGTTGAAGAAGAATATCAGATACAGTTGGCTCTAGAGTTAAGTGCTAGGGAGGATCCTGAAGCTGCTCAGATTGAGGCTATGAAGCAGTTCAGTTTAGGTTCTCGTCCTTCTGCTCCCGAGAATTCTCCTGCTGAACTCATGGCATATAGATACTGGGTGAGTTTTTGACTCATTGCCAGATATAGAAACAATTCCCAAGTCACTTGAGCAATAATAGACTGTGCTTGAAACAAGAAGTGTTAAGTTGATTACTGACCATAGAATTCTAGTATTGTGTGTCAATACGAGAATCCACCTAGAGACATTTCGTGACTAATAGCTCTTCTCTGTCTCTTCTAACCAATTTTATATCTCTGGAATTTTGCAGAATTATAACTGTCTTGGCTATGATGACAAGATTGTGGATGGTTTCTATGACCTGTGTGGAGTAATGAATGAATCTTCCTTAGAAAGAATACCTCCCTTAGTTGACCTTCAGGGGACACTTATGTCAGATGGTGTAACTTGGGATGCTGTTCTAGTGAACAGAAGCCAAGATTCGAATCTGTTGAGACTTGAACAAATGGCTCTTGATATTGCAGCAAAATCAAAGTCAGCATCTTCTTCAGGGTTTGTGAACAGTGAATTGGTACGGAAACTGGCAGTTTTAGTTGCAGATTACATGGGTGGACCAGTTGTGGATCCAGATAGCACCTTAAGAGCTTGGTGGAGTCTGAGCTACAGCTTGAAAGCAACCCTCCATAGCATGGTTTTGCCCCTGGGTTCTCTAACTATTGGATTGGCTCGTCATCGTGCCTTGTTATTCAAAGTATGTACCCTGCCCTCTATTACTTTTGCTTTGTGTAAAAATTAGCGCAAGAGGGGCATTTTTTGTAATCTCGTGACTGTTAAAGCTTCTTGCTAGTTTGGTGCATGTTTGAAACTTTGTGCAAAATGCCCTTGTTTGTCTGACTATCTTTATTACATACAAAGCGTATTGCACCTCTAAAACGCAGTTTGGTGTTTTGTCTCTTCTTTCTTATGAGACTTTGTAGGTTTTGTGTGATAGTGTCGGTGTTCCTTGTCGAATAGTCAAAGGACAGCAGTATACCGGTTCTGATGATGTGGCAATGAACTCCATTAAGACTGATGATGGCAGGTGACTTTCAAATTAAAAATCAATCATTATGTAATTTCAACAATTTTCTCTATCATTTGTAGAGAAAAATGTGTATATATATATATATATTTGGTGAAATATGTGGATATAGACTTGGGGTGTGTGTTATAGCTAACTCACATCTCTGAAAAGGTTAAAGCTATTACTGAGGCTTGATAAAAGTGTAATTTTCTTTGGTCTAAGCAACAATGCTGTTTAGAACTGAAAGCAGGATTTAGCATGTTTCATGCTTGTATTGTGGTTCTTTCTACTGTTATTGCAGTCTGCAGTTGCATAGTATTTTCCCTAACGAATCCAAATGTGAATTTCAGGGAGTACATTGTTGATCTTATGGGAGATCCAGGCACGCTTATCCCCGCTGATGCAGCTGGACTACAGATGGACTATGATGATTCTGTCTATACTGCCAGTCCCAGAGATGTTGATTCATCTCATGTAGCTTCTTCCAGCAGTGGGGTTGAGAGCTCAATTGAAGAACACGCAGAATCTTGGTCAGCGGAACATCGTTCTAAGACCAAGGGTTACCGGGAGGAAAACCAATCTGCAGGTGGAGGGGATCTCATGATTCGTCCAAATATTTTTAGGGAATTTGTGGGAAGTCAAAAGGCTCCTGTTCAACATCATTCCAGCAAGCCTACTCATTCTTTCACTCATGCCAGATCACCTTCGTGGACTGAAGGTGTTAGCTCTCCAGCTGGACGCAGGATGAAAGTCAAAGATGTTTCACAATATATGATCGATGCTGCCAAAGAGAATCCACAACTAGCTCAGAAGCTTCATGATGTGTTACTTGAAAGTGGAGTTGTAGCTCCTCGAAATTTATTTTCGGAAGTCTATTCAGAGTCAATGGAGGCAACAGGTGAAATCAAATCTGTGGCTGAATCCAGTGATGAGAAAGGGAAAGATTTTGGAACAATCCAGCAAGGAAGAAACCAGAGCAATATTGGCCCTGTGAGGTTTTTGCCTCCTCTTCCAAGACCGCAATCTAAAGCATATACCCATGACCTACGTGAACATTCAGGACCTGGACTCGGTCATTTGTCCCATCATTGCAATATTGATGGTCAGTCTGATTCGTCACATTCTGAAACATCTACTGATTATCCCAGAAATGTTCCTGTTGCCGTAGCTGCAGCGGCTGTTGTTGCATCTTCTATGGTTGTTGCTGCCGCCAAGTCAGCAAACTCGGATTCCTCCACTTTAGAACTTTCTGCTGCAGCTGCTGCTGCAGTTGTGGCGACAGCTGCAGCAGTGAGCAGGCAGCTTGAACTAGATTCACTTAGCAACGGGGATGCTGGTTCTGGTGGGATTCATGGGGTAGATTCAGGAGGAGAACGAATATCCGACAGATCTACTGGCAATGAAAGTTCAAAATCTGATTCTGCAATTGATGATGTGGCTGAATGCGAGATTTTGTGGGAGGAAATTACTGTGGCTGAGCGTATCGGACTGGGTATGTGTTGTACTATAGGCTTTAGTGTAACTAGTGCTACGACAAAAAGTATTTAGATTTATCTTATTTGATGCAGGATCATACGGAGAGGTGTATAGGGGAGATTGGCATGGAACTGTGAGTATCTCATATTTCTTTAGCTTAATACAGTATCATTGTAGCTTACTAATTGGCTGGCAAGGAGAGAAACATGGTAATTTTTTGCTTATTATTTTCATTTTCAATATCAATGAAACTCTTGATTTGGTAGGCAGTGGCTGTCAAGAAGTTCATTGACCAAGATATTACAGGAGAGGCACTGGAGGAATTCAGAAGTGAGGTATAAGCGTTTCCTTCTCTGGAAATTCTTGTACCCTTTCAAGTTTCAAACATTAATCGCTAAGTGACGGATTCGTAACATTTCACTTCAATTCGATGCAAGGTCCGGATGATGAGAAGGCTCAGGCACCCTAATATTGTTCTCTTCATGGGAGCTGTAACCCGCCCACCAAATCTCTCAATTGTTACAGAATTTCTTCCTAGGTATGCTATGATCCTTTTCATTATTTAATTGTTTTCATGCCAGATGATTTATCTAACTACCCCTGTTCCATCCATTAGTGAGCAGAGCTCAGACTCATCAGTCTCTTTTCTGTGTTTATTAACCAAATTTTTTTTTTGCTTGCGCAGAGGTAGCTTGTATAGGTTAATCCACAGGCCTAATAACCAATTAGATGAGCGAAAGCGTCTGAGGATGGCTCTTGATGCTGTATTATTACTGATTTCTCTTCCACTCCTTTTTTACCTCTACTATCTATTTGTATCTTCTTTATTGTTTCTTACAAAAAAATTTCCAACCTATGTAGGCTCGTGGAATGAATTATTTACACAGCTGTAATCCGGTAATTGTCCATCGTGATCTTAAATCTCCAAACCTTCTAGTTGACAAAAACTGGGTTGTCAAGGTCAGTAATTCTTCCACTCCGATTTCATTTTCTCTTCTATGATATCTCTAATGGCTTACATATTTCTCAGGTGTGCGATTTTGGGTTGTCTAGAATGAAAGTAAGCACATACCTCTCTTCAAAGTCAACAGCAGGCACGGTAAGCTACTGGAAGAAATTCACTGTTCTCCACTAGGACAGTTAATGTCAACTAAAACAATCCAGTTAGATTACCTCATGTCTTACTTTCCAGTTCATTGATCTAAGCTAGGAGGCTTGATTTTGTGTTTGCTCATTTCAGGCCGAATGGATGGCTCCTGAAGTACTTAGAAATGAACCCGCGGATGAAAAGTAGGGTTTTTCTTAAGCTCTTTACCAAAAGCAACTTGCTTCTAAACTTATTATCTCTTCCCATGTAATGTTCCCTATTAAGACGAGGTACATAATGTGAAAACAGGTGTGATGTGTATAGCTATGGAGTCATTCTGTGGGAACTCTTTACGTTACAGCAACCATGGGGGAAAATGAACCCAATGCAAGTTGTTGGTGCGGTTGGGTTTCAACATCGAAGACTTGAAATCCCTGAGTTTGTTGATACTGGAATTGCAGATATCATCAGGAAATGTTGGCAGACGTAAGTTTGATGTATAGTGATGATGATTATTATAGCTCTCTTGTTTTCTCGATGAATTAAATTAAACTCTGGTCTGTAATGGGTTTATTTATCTGGTTTTGGTAGGGATCCAAGGTTAAGACCAAGTTTTGCAGAGATCATGGCTTCTCTAAAGCAGCTACAGAAACCTATGATGGGTCCAAACATCCAGAGAGCAACAGTTCCCAGTTCTTCTGCGTTGTTGACCACTGATGAGCAGGAACAATAACATGATGCTTGATGAAGAAGATGACTAAATGATGATGATGGTGGGATCATTCTTTACATATTATATGTTCTGTGGTGTGCTTGTTCATGTGTCTTCACCATGTTTTGTTTACAAATTGTAAAAAAAGATAATGCAAAACAAAAAAAAAAAAAAAAAAAAAAAGGAAAAGGAGAAAAAAAGAAATTAATTTGTCAATGATAAAAATCGTTGAGAATTGAACTTTCATTTCTCTTACATACGAAATTCAAGTAAAAGTTGTTCATCTACTACAACTAATTCACTGTTATTTTTTTTTTTTTTAATTCACTGTTATTTCATGGCGCGAATTTAATATTTCTGTTAATTATGATTATATCGTCGTTACTAACAATAACCAAATAAAGTCGAATAAATTCGTTGGCCTTCTTTCTTGAAACATGATCATCACACGAACAAGATAGGCCTTTTAATAAGGGAAACCAAAAGGAGTAATTAGAGCCCTGAAAATGGCGAATTTATTCACTGCTACGGCTCCTTTCCTCTCACTCTCAAAGCCGTTCACCAAAACGGCACCGTACCACCAGTGTTGTGCCTCTTCTTCCAATCCGCCGGAGCCTGAGTCGTCTTCTTCTTCTTCTTCTTCTCCTTCTCCTCCTCCTCCACCTCAACCGCAACAGAAGAGGAAGAAGACCGTCGAGACGACGGATTGGGTCGCTTCTTCCTTGACTCGGCGGTTCGGAATCGGGGCTGGTCTTGCCTGGGCGGGCTTTCTGGCTTTTGGTGTAATCTCCGAGCAGATCAAGACTCGGATTGAGGTTTCTCAGGAAGTAGCTAACACCAGGTTTTAATAATTCACATATATCCTTTGCATTTTTTGAAGAACTTTCATTACGAATTGGCGATCACAAAGAAAAAGTTTTGGATTCTATATAATCATAAGTTACCTGAAGTTGTTTCTTTTGTGGGGTTTGCAGAGATGTAGAAGAAGAGAAAGAGATTGTGTTACCCAACGGCATAAGGTGCAATGTGCCATTAACTAGAGCACAAATGTTGAATGATTTTCATCCATGGATACAGTTTAATTCCCTGCTTAAAAGTTATATAAGAAAAGCTCTGTTACTGAATATTGAGATATAATCACCATGTATGTTTTCTCTGTGGCCCTTTTTAGTACTTGAGCTTATTAAGACATTGAAACTATTGATGTAGCAAATGTGTCTCCTTTCCTTATCTACAGACAGCTCTTGAATTTTTTTTTTTTTTTTTTTTTGTGTATGAGCTTTTTAAGCCATTGATGTAGCTAGCAATGTGTCTCCTTTTCCTTATGTACTGAACAATATCAAACATTCATAACAAAACAGATAGCTCTTGCATCAGTCACTGATCTAATGGAATCGGACCGTGCAGGTACTATGATATACGGGTTGGAGGAGGAGCGACACCAAGGGCAGGAGACTTGGTAGTGATTGATCTAAAGGGGCAAGTGCAAGGAACCGGACAAGTATTCGTGGACACATTTGGAAGCAAAGGCAAGAAGAAGCCATTGGCCCTTGTGGTGGGTTCAAAACTATATAGCAAAGGATTATGTGAAGGCATAGATTATGTACTAAGGTCCATGAAGGCTGGAGGTAAACGCAGAGTTATTGTTCCACCATCGTTAGGATTTGGTGAAGACGGTGCTGAATTGGAATCGGGTTTGCAGATTCCTCCGAATGCTTCGTTGGAGTATATAGTTGAGATTGATAGAGTCTCAATTGCACCTGCTTGAGTTGTGTTTCAATGCCAAATCCTTCAACTGGTTGTATAAGAGATTATGAGTGGAAAATAAAATAAACTTGTCTTTTGGGGTCGAATGTTTATAAACCGAGATAAACCGGATCAAAATCTTCGGTTTGATTTTCTTATGTTTACATAGATATAATAAAGTTACGTAAATGTATTTCTGTGGTTTATACGTAATGACGACTTTGATGAAGTCTTAGCCAAAATTGCGAAGAAAATTCTTTTATTCGCTGGATTTCTCTGTGAACGAGGAAAGGAACACGATTCTTGTCAATTAACGTTGTTTTTTTTCTCTTTTTTCCGGCGGAAGCGAATTGCTGATTGCTGTAGAGAATGGTGAAAGTAATCGATTCCCATTACCTAGCCATCACCGCCATTGTCACCGTGAGTCTTTTTGGTGCAATCGATTCTTTTGTGGTTCTCGAGAAATCAAGAGTTGGGTTTTCTTTTGTAGGTGGGTTATCAATTGATATTCTTCGTAATCACAGCTCTTTTCAAATTTGATCAAGTTACAGACTTTGCCGGTACGATGATCTAACTTGGAAATGCTCCCTTTGATAGTTTCGTGTTTCGTAATTCTTCTTTCGATTGTGATCACAAATGTATAGAATTTTATTTCCTTCATTTTTGCTAACGTATTATGACTCACACATGTTGTCAGGAAGTACTAATTTCGTGATACTTGCTGTCTTGACTCTGGTTCTCAAAGGGACATGGCATTATCGTCAGGTAATAAGATCCTCACCTCTCTTTCTCTATGTGTGTGGTTTGTATAATTGTCTCAGCTCTTTAATCTCCCAGATAGTCTTGACTGTACTAGTAGTCGTATGGGGACTTCGTCTCGGACTGTTCCTCCTTATGAGGTTTGCACCATGAACACCCCCCAAAATCTTTATGCATTTGCAACTATTGTGTGAGAGAAAATATATAGTACTTAATGAAGTTTTCTAGTCATGTCTGATGTATCTATTTCATTCTATCTATGAGTAGGATCTTGCAATGGGGTGAAGATCGACGCTTTGATGAAATGCGTGGAAATATCGGGAAACTAGTAGTCTTTTGGATTTTTCAGGCTAGCTACTACAAACTTTGGTTTTTCATCTTTAGAAGACAGAGAAGAAAGTAGCTCAGCTCAGCTAAGCTAAATTCTTGTGATCTAACACCATGTGGGTTTTTGTTCTTTTTTCTCTACCAGGCCGTGTGGGTTTGGACTGTTAGTTTACCTGTTACCTTTGTTAATGCAAGCAACGGTGGAAGATTGTTTCAGCCCGCAGATGTTATAGGTTGGACAATGTGGGTTGCAGGGTTCTTGATTGAAGCTACAGCTGATCAACAAAAACTTTCATTCAACAAGTGTCCAGAAAACAAAGGAAGATGGTGCGATGTTGGTGTATGGAAGTATTCACGCCATCCAAACTACTTTGGTGAGGTTAGTATCTTATCGATTTACAGTTTGGTTTTGTATGAATTAGAAGAAGCTCCAAAAAAAAAATAAAAAAATTGATGGGCGTGATTATGAATTCAGATGTTACTCTGGTGGGGCATATATGTGGCTTCATTGCCTGTGCTTAAAGGTGTCGAGTACCTTGTCATAATTGGACCAGTCTTTCTCACTTTGCTACTTTTCTTCGTTAGCGGCATACCATTACTCGAGGTTCTCTCTATCTATCCTCTCTCTTTCCACTCTGGCACATTCTAAATCACACAGCAGAAACAACATTCTTGTTTTGTATAAATGTAGGAATCTGCGGACAAAAAATATGGTAACTTGGGAGCTTATCGACACTACAAGAAGACAACTAGGTATGATACAAAGCTCTTTGAACACTGTTATTGGCCCTCGAGATGTGTTATAAATGCTAAGTGTTTCCCTCTTTCAATTGGATATTGGTTTACAGTCCTTTGATTCTGTTACCACGAGGAGTGTATGGGTACTTGCCAAAATGGTGCAAAACAGTCTTTCTTTTTGAGTTTCCATTGTATAGCCGTAATCTTCCTCAAGAGACTACAGCCTGGTGAGCCTCCTGTGTATGAATGAATTTATCATTATTTGGCTTCAATCTCTTTGTAAATCACACAAAGTCTTTGTTTAACTTATGAATTCTTTTTACGTGCAAGGGATAGACGAAACTCGAAGAAGAGCCAGAGAAGTATTGACTGAGGGAGCGAGAGAAAGAGAAAGAGAGTAGATGGTTACTGTGTTTTTGCAAACCCATCTCCTAGTTCTTCCTTCATGAGCAAATTCTCTTTTTGTACAGATTCTCGTTTGTCTTTGAATACTTGTGAAAAGTAATTGATACATTGATTGAGAATACAATAAGATTCAAACCAAGCTTCAAAAAATGTTGGAAGGAAAATTACATATGATTCAAAAGAAAAGTTCTCTAAGGAATAAGCTATTGAAGTGAACTGTTACTGAAGTTCTCTAAGGAAATCACTGCACCTGATCTAAGTTCACCTGAAGAAGAAGCATCGGAATGAGAGAGTAGGATGTATAATACCCATAGATGAAGGCAAACCAGATAGACCACAGCCCAGATTTTGGCAATAGGATTTCTACGCAAGAAGACGGTTCCCGAGATGAATATAGCGTTTAGTTGCATCACTAGCCATCCCAAATGTTTCTTGCCTGACCGGATTTTATCTTGGAAAGCTGGTTTAAACTTTGATCCCGACAGTTCCCAATCTCCTGCTTCAAGATCTTGGGATGAGGCTTCAGTTGCAGACATACCTTTGTTTTCTTCTATAAGCCTTGATACGGCCTGGCAAAGAATCAAAATTGGGTTGTGTGTAAGTGAAGAACATATTTTTGTTTTTGGAGCAGGACCTGCAGGTTGGTGGAATTCATCAATGTACCTCGATTCTAAACGATATGGTTGCTTTCTCTGAGGAAAGCGCTTCCACCTGGTAAATTTGGCAAGAAAATTTGGAATTTATTCTAACAATTTTTTGTCTAAATGTCTGTATCTTAAATGTTCATATACCTGGGATTGTTTTTGAATAAGATGGTCAGTTAGCTGGTTAAGTCTTCGTTTCAGTTCAATTTCCACTTCAGTTGGTTCTTCGAGTTCCTTTCTCATCATTTCTATGTCTGCTTCCAGTTTAGTTGCCTGGAATTTTAACAAGGAATCAAGCAAAAAACAAAGGAATGTGCCTTAAATATAATCCTGAAGAACAGAAAAAAAAGCATAAGTCAACCAGACAACTGTGTTAGCTAACCTTGTCTTGTAACCACCCAATTTTATCAGTCAGCAAAGAAATCTCTGCTTCAAGCATCTGGTGTTCGAATATGTCTCCTCTAGAAGTATCTAACTACACAGCCCACATATAAGCAGCATGATTCTCAGACCAAGTAGACAAAGATTTCCACATTGAGATTGAAGAAAAAGAAACAAAAAGAAAAGAAGGCCCAAGTCACCTGTTTTACAGTTGTTCCACTTCCCCCAATATTAGAAGTATTTCGCGTCAGTTCTACATGATAAAGACAACTTCTTTAGCAAAATAGAGAAGTGGTTATCCTCAAATGACTATGAGCAGTAAAAAAAGTTATTTGAAGTAGAATAAACTTCCTATAAGAGAGGTGTCTTTATTACATATCAGTAACTGTATAATTTTTCAAACAAGGAACCTATACCTTCCAGAGTAGACTCTTTAACCTCAACTTGTTGTCGGAGTACTGCTACCTGATCTATCTGGTCACATCAGAAAGAAAAGAGATTAGTACGCAAATGCAGATATAGAAGTTGTTTGACTCAACAACATTGATTAGGTATTGATCAAAACATCCTTGCCTCAGAAGATCTACATCTTTCAGTAAGAACAATGGTCATTAGCTTTTACCTTTATTATTCTTCGATTCCAGCTAATTCAAACAAACCAAGAAACAAAATAATTAGATTATGTAATCTTTATACCTGAGTCTCAAGTTTCTTCTGCCCAGCGGCAAGCGATCTTGTAAGTTCAGCGTTTGCAGCCTAAAACATTCAATTTTTATGTTTACATCAAAAAACCATATCATCTCGCTCCAATAGAAGGTAAATACTAAGAGCAATTTGAACTGTCAGCAAACAAATTACAAGATTAATACCTCTAATCCGGCCAAGCGTGTGAGAACTTCCATTCTTGTATTGTTATGCTTCTGCTTTTCAAGGTCAGCAGCTTCCAGTGTTTCCATCATGTTTGTTTGCAACTCTGCAGCCTAAACGAAATAGAACAAACTCAGAATCTGTAGCTCATCTAGCTTGAGTAACACAAATATAAAATCATATAATGGGTGTTTGCAGCAGCTTCTACAACTTGGACAAATTGCTACCTCTTGTGCTTGTTGTTTAGCTCGTTCTTCGACTATTTTCTCTAAACTCAATTTTTCACCCTCAAGTCTTGCTACCATATTCTCTCGCTCTTTGATGACGGCTACAGCTTTTGTTGCAACTCTTTCAGCAAAAATTCTCTCTCTTCTCCTCCTACGCTCCTCCCTCTGACGCTCCCTCTCAGAGTCAGTGCTCGAATCAGACTCATAATCGGATTCAGATTCATCATTTGACAAGGAAGAATCCTTCCTCTTTAGACCATCAGAAAAATTGCTCTGTGAGACTTCTTCCCTCACCTGCTTTCCCCATACAGAACTTCTTCTGGACTCACGACCATCCCTTTTTCCTACACTTGGTAATGTTTCCTTAGGGAGAGTCTCATTGGCCGAATTTCTGGATTCATCCAGGGGAGGTGGCTTACCACTGACATCCTTCTCACTCTCTTTATGAGTTGAGTTCACAAATATATCCCGAGGAGCATTCCTACTTTCCATGTCAGCATCAGAAGGGCTAGACACGCTTGGTTCCTTATTCGTCTGTTTTTGTGGCCTCCCTCTGGAATCAACCACATTACCACTACTACTCTTCTTTCCATCAGATACCAAAGGATTTTTCCCCAAATTCCCATGTCTTTTTCCATCCTTCTTCAATCCCCGATTCACAGATGTTCCTCCGGGAGTACGAGGCTTAGAAGTACTGCTACCCTGATTTGGAGTACTCAGAAGTTCTGTCCAGTCACTGTCAGTGAGTTTAGTTTTATCTTGTGCCAAACTTTGTAAAGGTGAACTTGTTCTTTCTTGTGATTGATCTGGTTTGCGTAATTTTTTGGTGCTACTTACGTAACTAGGCTTTTGCTCTGTTGAGTTTCTCTGAGATCCACCGCCAGAATCACTACCTTCATGTGTCTTCTTCCTCAACTGATCTTTCAACGAAACAGGGCTACTTCCAGATTTAGGAGAAGTCTCAAACACCTCATCATGAGTCTCAGACTTGTCATCTTTTCGAAGAGACTCTGCTGCCTGCTGATCAAGCTGCAAAGCACAGTTTACATAATCCCCAATTAGCATAAATTTTGTGGTACGAGCTCAAGTACAAATTCGACAAGAACGCAAGACTCTGAAATAGTATAAGCAGAAATCGGTGCAATGCAATGACCAGATAGTGTTACAATAGCATTGCCAGACGATATAGATTAGTCCAAGCATGAATCGCATCAATTTCAACACAAAATCGTTCCACTGGACCGTTTTCCGGGAAACTAGGACATCAATCCGGTGATCAACAGAGGAATCAAAGCAAATCATCCATAACATGAGGATCGAAATTAAACTAGAACCCAACAAATTCCAAATCTAGTAATTTACATCCGTTTTCTATGCAAACAAAAAAAAAGAGATTCGATATCGCACCTGTTGAAGAATCGTTTCGGCTGCTTTGAGCTTCGACGAGATCCAATTCGCCATTTTGCTTCACAAAAGAGATGGGACTAAAGACCCATACGTCACCGTTTTATCACCCAAAGTGGTTTCTGAATTGCACTCGCATCAGAGAAAAACGAAGAAGACGAAGATGAAATAATGTTACAGTGACGTGTCGGTGACGTAGTTTATTTAGCAAACGCCGAACGAGACTCCACAACTAACTCAGCCGAGTCCGGTTTTGTTTTCCGGTTTAATATTTCATTTGTCTTTGGTTCGTTACAAATTCAATAATCCAAACCAAGACTTGGATATAGTTACGATTTGTGATTTTTGTCATTATATAGGATTTACTTAATACGAGAAAAATATAAGACAAATCCAGGCCAAGCCAACATGATCAATTTATTTACTTGTAGCAACAATTGGGCAAAGAAGTACTCAACGGTCGAGTGGCGGTAAATTCATGAATATTCACAATCTCTTTACTGGGGGCAGGCCCGGCTCACTCATCGGTAAGACCCGGTGCCATACAAAAAAAATCCTATCTTTAATAAAAAATTTATATATATATATATTTACAAAAAGTTATATTTCATAAATTATTTTGTATTTTATACCTATTTGGATTTGTTATTTTTGTTTATTAATTTTGGGCCTCAATATTACCTTTTAAAATAGAATTTTGGGACCTTTATATATAGATATTTTATAAAATTTCAGCATAATTAAATAGTTAAATAATAGAAAAACTATGAATTTGGACCTTAAATTTGTTGGACCCGGTGCAAATGCACCACTTGCACATGCCAATAACCGGCACTGCTGGGGGGAATGACCGCACCGTTACTTTCGTTGTTACCGTCACCGTTGGGTCTATTGTCTACCGCGGTCTTCTGAGTCAAAACCTCATGTATCCGTCCGATCATGCTTAGAAACGCTTCCTCAACATTTTGGTTCTCTAAAGCTGATGTTTCGAGAAAATAGAGACCTTCTGATTCGGCTAGTGTCTTACCCTCTTCTTCTTCAACTTCTCTAGACTGCCCGAGATCGGATTTGTTACCTACGAGAACAACGACGGTCTCAGGACTAGAGAAGCCTCTGAGCTCCGACAACCATTTTCCAATGTTTTTGAAAGTGATTCGTCTTGTGATGTCGTAGATTAGTAAAGCTCCCAAGGCTCCACGGTAATACGAACTCGTTATTGCTCTAAATCTTTTTTCCTCCCATACAAAAAAACAATATTTAAGATAAGTAAAAACACATGCATAAACTATTAAAGAATTAAGTAAGATAAAATTTATCGAAATAAATATAATTTTAATAAGAAAAAACAAAAAGAAGAAAAGGTCGCGACATTTAACGAAGATTAGGTCCGCGTGACATCGATTGCTTATATATCAAGATTTTCATTATTGTCTTCTGCGCGTGATCTGGTTTTCCTAATCATCATCCCAATCATATATTTCATTATTTATTTCTGTTGTTTATCTAACACATTTCCATTTAACATTTACATACAAAAAGAAATGTCGAAAATTTAACAAGTTTTACGTCTTGGTTAGTCTCGTCTACGTTAGAAAATTATACAAAAAAAATCTTATGAATTAAAGGATATTTTTGTTCATGGTCAAATGAAAAAACAACAAATGGAAGTGAACTCGAGAATTTCATTTATATTAGTCTTACGTTTATGTTTTTCGTGCAAAAATATTAGTCTTACGTTAAATAATACAAAATTTTTTATGATGATCTTCATCATCAAGTCCGTTAAATAGTTTCATATCCGAGGTTGAATTCTGTTACCTTTCTTGGCCGGCGGTGTCCCATATCTGAGCCTTGATAGTCTTATCACCCACCCGAACATTCCGGTAAGCAAAGTCTACTCCGATGGTCGGTTTAGAGTCTAACCGAAACTCATCCCTCGAGAATCTCGACAAGAGGTTTGATTTTCCGACGGCAGAGTCTCCTATCAGCACCGCCTTGAATAGGTAGTCGCACTCTTCGTCATACGATTCCTCCGCCATGTTATTTATCTTGTCGGTTTGATTAGGGTTTATGTAAGTAAATCTAAGAAAAAGGAAGAAAACTGACTAGAAGAATCGATCAATGGTGGAAATCTGAAGAAGAAAGGGTTTGTCTTATGTAATTATATACGAACCTCTCAAGAAATTCTTTCCACTAATTAAGTATATATGGCTCTATTTATGTGAAAACATGGATAATTATACATATTAATGTAATATGATTGCGACAAGATATATAACTATAATAAGTATTGGGTGTGACTGGTAGGTGTTTTTAGAAGAAAAGAAAAATGTATAAATTTTATTCTTCTGAATTCATCTGTGTTTTCACCAGGTAGAAAAAAAGAAGAAGAATTACTTTTCTACTGAAAAGTGAAAAAGCAGAGTAAAGTAGAAGATTTTATCCCTCTACAAAATAGCTAAAGTAACGTTTTCTTCTGAAGTGCCATTTTCTTCTCTCTTCATTTCTTCTTTAAAATTCTACTCATTTCTTCTATAGTTTTCACCAGTCAGACCTATTGTTTTTTTTCTACTTTTTCTTGGAAGAGTTAAATGAGGACGAAATCATTTTTGAGAAAAAGTATAGATAAAGAGCAGGACAAGGATAAAAGAGGCGTGACAGAGATTGTACATAACACAATCCAAGAGATTTTTTTTTTTGTCAACGACGTCGTTAACTAAAATAGTGTGCCTCTTATTTATCTTAACTCGTTGTTATGTTACTATATGTCTATATAGCTTTAAAAGGATGAAGTTGTGATGTTTTGATTGTCTAGGGATCTCAAGTACTAAAGCTCAATCATGCATGTTTCGCTGTAGTCTCTGTACGTTTAAGTTTTGACATTTTACCAAACTCACTCACTGACTCACGTTAGGTTTGACTTGTAAAGAGTTGTAACACAAATAAAATGAAAAGATGGCTAGTTGGGCCTAAGATGGGCTTTAACAGGCCGGATTTTTCACAAACAAGTCAAAGTTGTTTTCGTGAAGCCTTTGACCGATTCCTTTACTCCAAAGAGGAAGAGTGGAATACGACTCGTAGACGTCGACGTCTTTCTTTAATGTACACCATTGGATCCCATCTCAATTTTTGCAAACTGGGTTCTCTTTTTCTTGAGGACTAGTTGCCTTATTTAATCACATATTGTTTCTTTAAATGCTTACCACTTTCATTTCTACATCCGAAAATAGCTTAATTGGACAAGGAAACGAATATATCAATCTACGCGTCTATCGAGCCCTTTAATTCAGCATTCATTACGTTGCTTCGTAGTAGGAGCATCAGAGTATATTAATTCAATGAAACCAGATCATCGGCTAAGATTATTAGCGTTGGTTCATCACTAAAAACTCAAATTCAAAATTTAAAAGTTATAATGGTCCCCAAAAAAAATAATTTGAGTCACTTATTTCTGTTCTATCCGGGGAACGTCTCCATTGACCATTTTGGTTTGTTAAGCAAAAAGAGATAGGATTCTAATTCTTCAACTTAGGTGGTGTTATTCAATGATGGATTTTAATAGAATTGAAATCAAACACTAATCCAGTGTTATTCAACTAATGATTATAAATCTAATGTTAAAATCTGGTGTTATTAGATCTTATACTTCATTAGATTTTAAAAGTTTGGTGTTATTCAATGGTGGAGTTAAAGTCAATTCTTTAAGGTTTGTAAAATCCAGTGTTATTCAAAACTAAAAGACTTGTAAAATCTTTGTATATTAAATCATTTCAAATGAAACCTCTTTGGAGTTTCATGAGTAAATTATTAAAATCAAAATCCAAGATATACTGCATAGATTTTGAAATCCACACAAACATATTCTTAAAACCAATATCAGAAAACAAATCTAAACCTTAAAGAATTGACTTTAACTGCACCATTGAATAACATCCAATTAAGTTTATAGTAATCCATCCATAATCATGTCATGTGCTTCATTAAAAAATCTACGGTTAATTTGTCATGCGTAAGCAGCAGAGACTCTGATTTTGTTTCTATGCCAATATATATTCGAAAAATGCAGGGTAAGAAATTAGAAACCAAATTTGTTTGAAGAGCAACGATATATCCATATTCAGATCTAAATCTCAACCATGTATGAATGAAAAGAGATCCGATTGAAGTTAGACTGATGATGATGATTGATCACATTTAGAGAAAAGAAGACCTAAAATCCATAGTTATTATTCCCAAATCCAGATCTGGAATCTGGGAAACCCCCTTAGGTCGAAGGAGCGGCGGATCCATTGCTGTTGAGGAGAGAAGACGACGTCATCATCTTCTGAAACTCTTCGAAATTGACATTCCCATCGCCGTCGGCATCCACAGGTCCGATCATACGAGTACAATCTTCAACAGAGCAAGACATCCCGAGACGGTTAAGAACCTGGTGAAGCTCAGCGGCGGAGATCAGTCCGTTTTTGTCCTGATCGTATAGATCGAAAGCGTCACGGATCTCTGCGGCGGAGGAAGACGAGCGGCAGAGAGTTGAGAACTCGTCGAGGTTGATGTAACCGTCGCGATCTGTATCGACTTCTTCCAGAACGCGGTTGAGTTCCGTCTCCGTGTAGGAAGTCCCCATAGCCTTAAACACACCGCCGAGTTCGAGGACTGAGATCTTGCCGTCACCGTTGGAGTCAAACTGGTCGAAAACTTTCTTAAGCTCATCTGGATTAGCCATGTCCACCGATGCTGGCGTGGGTTTGGCGGTTTCTGGATTTGCGCTTGCCATTTTTTTTTTGTTAAAGGTAAAGTGTTTTGGATCAATTGGAGGCTGATGAGTTGACCCTTTTATAGACCTTTTTGTGATATCATTTTTTTTTATAGATGCCACTAATTACAAGTTTGGAATCGAATCTTTATGTATTTAATTTCCCTTCATATTATAATACTTTGATAATTTGGATTAATACATTTATAATTCGTATCTGGTTTGAAAATACTGTATTTGTTGAAATCTGAACTATTTAATTCTTTCTTATTAAATATAAATTAGGGAATATACACTAACTAGCCATGAAACCAAAAATAATAAAGAAACTAACCATGATAAATAGT